ACAGTTTGGTCTTGCATCTTCAACTTATTGTAAAATCTCCAAAACAAAACCAAATCGCTCAATTTTTTTTTAGAATGTAGCTAGAACTGTCAGCTGTTAAATGACATAGGAATAACAGATGTGAATGACTCTAGTGCTTCCAAAAATGAACTAGTGCTATCTGTCGCAAACATGCGTCATGACTTTTCTGACAACCCAATATTTTGAAGTCTGAATACCAAATTCTTCCTAGAACTATGTTTATAGTACAGGAGAAAACTATTTTATACTCATACAAACTCCTTGGTATGTTGTGTACACATTTGGTCTCCCATGAGAAGACTCTATAAGAGCCTACTTCTTGACCTAGATACAAAGCTACCAAATACGGAGAGCAATCAGTGGGCAGGACACTTAATAACTAGAGCTCCAAAGGTATAATTTCTTAGAGTGTGGGTGGGTCCAAGACAAAATTGTAAAGTAGGTAAATATTTCTCTTGTTCCCCACCTCCTCTTTCAGTGCCTTTCCTGCCATGTTCAGTAACCTCTCCACCCAATCTCTTCACTGGGCTTGAGGCTTTAAAGGGCTCATAGCACTTCCAATCTACTCAACCTAGAATCAACATTCCATACTCTGACTTATCCTTACTCTCAAACATAAAAGTGGATAATGGGGTTAATAAAATAATTTACCTTTGAATTTTTAGGACAAAGGCTCAAATCTGTCCCTCAGGGAGATAGACAGCCATTGTATGAACTAAAATAAGTTTCAGAGGTAAGCATCAAACAGAAATGACATGTTTTTAATTTTTATGATTTCTGATTTTCATCAGAATAATAGGAGAGAAGGGTCACCAAACCTAATGGGAGGGAAATCCTTGAGGGAAAAATGGGAAGGTGTATAGGATACCTGGAGATGGAAAAAAGCACTTAAGTACTCTATGAGAACCTGAGTAAATGAGGCTAAAAACTATACTCTGTGCTCCTCAACTTTCTTGGGGATCTCAAGATCTTTTTAACTTTGTAATGTCTCAATTTCCTATAAACAATAATAGCTTAATTTATGTTTTCTCTGAGGAACACTCTTTACAATAATTATTAATAGTCAAATGGAGGGTGGCAAATTTTTAAATTATTTTCAATAGGAAAATAATACTTCTGGTTGGGAATCCTGCTTGTGCCACAGGTCACTTGTAAGCTACACCTCTTTAGGGAGATGTTTCTCTTATCTGAAGAGGCCAGATTAAAGTGATCCCTTGCCAGTTGTCATATTTTATACATATAATCGAATACTTCTGACATTTGCTATGGGATCAGAATGATATTGGCCCCAGCATCAAAGAGTTATTTTTCCTGTGATATTACATTCTTCTGGTTTTCCTCTTACTATACTGGTAGTTCTTTCTCAGTCTCTTTTGGGAGTTCTTCCTCTCCTATAAGCTCCTCAAAGCTCGGTCCTCGGGCCCTTTTCTCTTTTCACTTCACAATCTCAATGTAGGTGATCTCATTGAATAGGCTTTTGTTACCATTTATAAACTGATAAACTTCAAATTGACATCTCCAATTTACCCTTCTTTTCTGAGCTCAAGGTCTGATCTTTGTTTTGTATGCAACAGAAATTACTCAAACTTAACATAGCCAAAACTGAGTTTATGTCTTTCTCCTCCTAGATCTGTTCCTCTTTCAGAATTTCTTGTTTACTGAGATACTGGCACTATCATCTATCTACCCAGAAAACTAAATATACCGGTCACATCTTTCTTCTTCATTCTCCCACATAAAACCAAGTACTATCCAAAACCAGTCAATTCCACCTCCTAAATATAAGACATATCTGTATATGTCTCTCCTTCTCTACTATCACCCCTAAAATCCAAGTTATCATTTTCTAGTATCAACATTAATACCCTCCTAACTGCTCTCTCTCTTTTTACTTCCAGTCTTGCCCTTATCGCCCCCTCCCCCATCCAAACTATTTTTCCCACAGCAACCAGAGGGATCCACTTGGAAAACACTTATGATCATGTCTTCCTGCTTCATTTGTTCACTCATTATTTACTGAATACCTATAATGTGCCAGTCACTATTCTAGAATCTAGGAATCCAGTGACACATAAAATAGACAAGGCAATGACTTCTTTTTACTCTTAGGAAGGGTCTATATGATCTTGGCCACTAATTCACTTTCCCTTTGCAATCAGAATACTACATTTTAGTCACAGTGACCTGCTTTCTTGAAGCTTTTGAACAAGTCTATTCCTATATATTTTTATACCAATTCCTGTACATTTTTCAAACGTAAGCTTAAATGTCTCATTTATGGGGCAGCCGGGTGGCTCAGTTGCTTAGAACACGTGCTGTGAACAACAAGGTTGCCTGTTCGAAAATGGCAACTGGACTTGGCGCTGAGCTGTACCCAACTAGACTGAAGGACAACGACTTGACTTGGAGCTGATGGGTCCTGGAAAAAACACACCGTTACCCAATAAAAAAGAATAAATAAATAAAAAGTCTCGTTTATGAAAATTCTGACCAGACTAGGTCCCTTTGTATTTCTCCTAGAGCTCTTCACAATGGTAAATTTAAAAATTTATATGCTTGTTTAATGTCTCTCTCACTAGTTCTCTTCTAAGCCCAAAGAGAACAGAGGAATGTCTTGTTCATTATTCTATTACCAGTGTCTGGCACATGCTAGGAGCTCAATTTGCTGGTTGAATGAATAAACCTTGCTATAGATTGTTACCATATAGTCAGTCTATAGTCTGGTGAACTGTAAGATTTAGAGACCTCTTTTTAAAGGGAAAACTTAAGTCACACTTTAGGATGTGGTCTCTTTCTATTTAGGAAATTCTAATTACTGCTGAATTTGAAGATTTCTTACTTATGGTGTCATTGCTTTAGAGAGTTAAAAATACCCTTAAAATAGCTATCACTTCAGGTATTTATTCAACAAACATAGACTGAAAACAAACTGGGGTATTTAAACAATATTTTTCTATTAATTTACCTCACCTGCTGCCCTAGTTCAGTTTTTCACGGGTTCCTCCCCAAATCGTTGCACTTCTTCTTTCCAATTTCTTATCTTACATTATTTGTCGTCAAAGCATTGTTTTTAAAACAGCATTTATTTTGTCTGTTTTTGCCAATTAGAATGCAAGCTCTATGAAGGCAAGGATTTTTGTTTTGCTCATTTTATTTCGTCTTTGGGGCGGTCCGGAGGCCTAGCAAAATTTACAGACTTGTAACAGCCATCAATGTATCTCACTGCTTCGTGTTTCTCCATTCATTCATATGTATCTACTTTTATGTGCTAGGATCTCTTGACTCATTGTGCCAGTATATTGTATCTTATTAACATGTCAGTTATTTTTAATGTTTCAAGAATGTCTGTTTCAGTCACAGTTTAGATGCTTGCCCACTAAAGGTCATTACAAGGAGAAAATGACTTCGGGAAAATGGACTTGAGGGCAGTAGCCTGATCCGCTGTAGCTGCTCAATAAATGCTGGCTGAACTTTTAACTGCACTCCAGTTTGTGGAGGGAACTAAAAAACATTTTCGCACAGAAGAGTGAGCACATCTACACCGGTCTCTTAAGCACTTTCTTGGGCCCTGAAGAATACTACCAAAGTGTGCTCGGTGATAAGGTGGAGCAGCGCAACGCCTATTTCTGGAGATCAACTCAGCTCCGCTCCACACGTGAGCAGCTCCCATCCGGCGACAAAGAAAAATACTTCCGGCCTTCTGCTTTTTTATGTGCTGAGTCACGGCCGAAGGCTCCACACTGGGTATGGGGGCAGGATGCCCAAAATATGACTTGAATAGGGGAAGAAACCTGGGAATTCATTTTCTCCACTCGGTTCTTGGTTTTCTCATCAGGGGGAAATTTTTCTCTGAGCCGCGGAACACCGCTCAGTAGCTGCTCCAAACCCACTCCCACCACACGTCATAGATGCGGCGCAGCTGCGCGGACGCCCTTCTCCCGTCGCCCCCCGCGCCGCTCTCGCCCCCGCTTCTGCCTCGCCCCGCCCACCCCACGTTTCGTAGCGCTGCCTGAGTCCTCCGACAATCAGGCCTGGTCGCTTTGGTTCCTTTTATTCACTGTTCCCATTGGTTGCTTACGTGAGCGTGACTGCCGTCTTGCCTCTTTATTAGCTAGAACGAGCAGCGTCATCGGCGGCCGGCGGGATGGGGGCGGGGGGAGAGAGGGAAAGTTAGCGTGAGGGAGACCGGATTGGGGGAGGGGTGCAGGCCTGTCCTCCCCAGCGGCTGCGGCAGCACCAGCGCCGGCCGCCACCGCCTCTGGAACGCGGAGGAGGAGGAGGAGCGGCTGGAGGAGTAGGAGGAGGAGGTGGGCCCGAGGGAGAGGGATGCTCATCGCTCCGGTTTTGTGGTGAATGCTGAGTCGAGTCACGATTGCTGCAGTCTGTGCCACCGCGAGGAAGTTGTGGTGTAAGGCCGGGCGGGAGCTCGCAGCGCTGTGGAGAATCCGAGCGCGGGGTCAGTGCGAAGACCGGGCTACTGCCAGACCCTTGCCTCCTCTGACCATGCCAGGAAGGAACAAGGCGAAGTCTACCTGCAGCTGTCCTGCCCTGCAGCCCAACGGACAGGATTTGGGCGAGAGCGGCCGGGTTGCCCGTCTAGGAGCCGATGAGTCTGAGGAAGAGGGACGGAGTGGGTCTCTCAGTAATGCCGGAGACCCTGAGATCGTCAAGTCTCCCAGCGACCCCAAGCAATACCGGTGAGGGAGGAGGCTTGGACCGGGGAGGAGAGCCGGGTGCGGGCCTCTCTGTTGCTGCCGCGGCCACTTCTTGTCTCCGTGTCTCCCGAAGGAGAGCAGCAGGGGCACACTTCCCACCCCGAATGCTTTCTTGGGTGAAGGTGGCAAGGGCAATTAGGGGCTTCCACGGGGTATCAGCTGGACAACTGGGAAATATTGGGTTCCACAAGGAATCAGGATATCAGAATGGGAAGGGTGGTTCGAGTAATTTTGACATTAAGCGAGAGCGGGAGGTTTCTCGGAGGAAGGCAGGCTGGATGGTGAAATAGTCTTGGTATTATGAGGAAAGGTTAAAGGAGTTGGGGATTTTAATTTTGGAGAGGATATTTAAGGGGCATGTTATCACAATCCAGAAATATTTGAGGTGCCCTTAGTTGAAAGAGGGGTAAAAGTGATGGGTGGAAGTTACTAGAGGATGGTGTGGCTTGAGTAAAAGAACTTAGGCATCATCGTTGGCCTAAGATGAAGTGGCTTGTTTCCATGGGTTTCTTATTGCTAGAATGGTGGGGTGACCTCTTCCAAGAATATATTAGAGAGGACTTGGGTCTCAGTTGGGCAAGTCATAGCCTTGTAAGGTTTCTTATAATTCTGAAATTCTCTACTTTTGGTTTATGCTGGAATCCTCTAAACATCTCTTAATAACTGGTGGCTCAATCCCCACTTGAATATTTCCTTCAGAGGTAGCTTATTTCTTAGAATGTTATGACTACGATATATTTTAAAAAGAGATCGTATTGTCCAAAAACTTCACTTACAGGTTGATGAATTGAGATTCAGAGAGAGTTTACTTTTTGCTCAGAGTTACACCGCTAAAAATTATAACAGAGATGATATGAAAACTCTTGTCACCAAATCCTGTGCACCATTTACTGATTTTCAGAAGGTTCTTACTCATATTGAGTTGAAAGCTGAAGGATTCTTGGTCGCAATTTGTTATAAGCCCCTATAAATGTTAGAGCAGGAAAGAACCTTAGAGATAAAACGTTTCCACTTTCCACCATCCCCACTTGACAGATGACTGAAGCTGAGGTCTAGAAAAAAGTGATTTAACTTCAAGTTAAAGACTGGCCTAATTTCTCTTTTTACTCCAAGTCTAGTGATTTAATAGTATATCACCCCTTGTACTATTTTCCCAGGCCGCAGAGTAAAGAGATCTTTACAGGTTGACTAAACTTTTTTGTTTCTCATGAAAGATCCATGGTTGTATTAGTAATACATAAATGAGTAATTGAAATCTTGCAAAAAGGTGCCTAGTTTTTGCCTTCCAGATTAAATGTTCAATAACCATTTCATTTTTTGTCTGCCTATATAAAGATACATAACAGCTACTGTTTATAGAATACACGCTATCTCAGATACTGTTCTAACTGCTTTAGATGTATTCTTTCATTTAATGACCACATTTTTGGAAATTCATTTGACAGATACTAAGTCCTGCTGTGTGCAAGGTGCTGAGCTATCGTAAATATTTTCTGACACTTGGTCGAATATAACAATAAATAACATTTTATTCTGGGTGCTGGGCATACAGAGATCATTAAGACAGTCCCTGCCTTCAGGAAGCTTCCAGTGTACTGGAGGGACACAGACACAAGAAAGGTAAAATTAGGGCACTAAAGTTTTACGGAAGCCATAATATATAGAAGTATGTAATAGGTTTATTGGGGAATAAAGTAAGGGGCTGTAAACTCCATCTAGGGTGAAAGTTAGGAAAGACTTCAAAGAAGTAATGCTTAAGAGGTATTCTTTGAATAAGTTGTTGCATTTCTATATGTGGTCTTTTGCCAAGTCATTGTCCTTCCTAGTGTCTCAGTTTTCTTATTTTAAAATGAAGGGGGTTGATTTGAATAGCAGTGTTTTCCAATAATTTCCTCTCTTTCAAAAGAGTAGGTCCACTTTTATCTTTAATATATTGAAGTTTCAATTAGACTTTTAAAGAAAAGATTTTGTTACTTTAATATAAAGGTGGAAAACCTCAGTACTAGATGATTTTTAAAGACTTAACCAACCTAAGTCAAATGCTGTACATTTTTGTAACCAGAAACAGACATGAGGTATCTGCATGCAGCCCAGAGAGCTGAATTATCGTTCCAGGACCTGCTCAGTCAGATACTATCTTTGTGAAGTCTTTCCAGGCAGAACTAATCTCTCCTTTCACTGTATTTCAATAAGACTTTGTACATGGTTCGTTACAGTACATATCCATCATATTATAATTATATGTCTTTTGAATGTGTGAATAAGCACCACAAGCAGACCTGATTAAAGGAATATTGTGAAATAATGCCTTGAAAGATTTGTTTGCTAGTCTGCATTAAATAATACCCTGTGGAATTTTACTTCTGTATATGTGTAATTTGTATTCACCTTTTTAAAAATGTTAAGCATATCTCCAAGGACATTTTTCTGCTTTTTTAGGGATCTGTATAAATGCTTGGTAAATGTCGATTTCCGTCTCTTCTGGAAGGATTAAAGGACTCCAGGTTGGGAATTGTTCAAATCTTTATTGGTGTAAAGTGGAAATTCTAGATGCACAGGATTAGTGATAGGGCATTGACTTAAATATAAAACACTTTCCATGTTTAACCTGTTTGTAAAAAGACCCATATTTATGTGAGGGAGGGGAGAAAAACATTGAAAAGGCATGTAAGTTTCTGAAGGGCAAGCCCTTTTATTGAATTTTGGTCAGACTGTTACAAGTGAGGGGATTATGTTAATAAGTGCTCACTATACTAAAGAAAATGGATGCAGGTTGAATAAGGTACAGGTTATTTCTAAACATTTATTATGTTGTTTACTATTATAAATTGATGAACAGATCCAAGTGAGCAGGACAACTGCATTGAAAACACTAACATCTGCTGGCTTTTCAAATAGTTAGGAGTGGGGTGACTCAATTCTGAGCAGACGCTTTAGACAAATCTAAGATATGAGAAGAATCGTACATCAGAGAACATTTTCTTTTGTATTGGATGGGAAGAATATGGGTTTATTTGTTTATCTTTCAACTAAAACTCGTGGAATAATAATGCTGTTTTTTCAATATATGAATCAGCAATTGCATTTGTAGTATATATACACTAGTGAAATCATGTACTTATGTGTATATGAATTCTAGGAACTTTACACCATCCAGTTCCTTGGTCTGATACCTGCATTCAAAACTTGATTTTGATTGTACCCTCTTAGTCTTGTAAAGTAGAGGCAAGCTAGGTCTTACCTTGTGAGATTTAAGCTCATTTAATAAAGTGAGCACTTTTAAGATTGAAATATATTAAATTTTCTGAATGCTGATATGACTTGAATAAATGTATCTTTGTTACCATTTTTTAGACTGATTTCTTCTATGTGGGCTTATGGACTAGTAAGAATAGAAAGAACATTCTTAAGTAAACTGTTTCTTTTGGAAGTAGGATTTAGCATTAAAAAGATCTCTGTTTTTGAAGAACTAAACAATGGTAAGAACTCTTTTGCCGTTGAAGAGTTCTAGTCCATCTAGACTCCTGGTGGAGTCATAGAGCAGGTTCTGAAGCAGAAATGCATTAAATGTTACAGGTGTTAGAATAGAGATATGGGTAAAGTATGGCATTTTAAATTATTTGTGTATCTAAAGGTGAGGGTTTGAAATAGCTAATGTAGAGAATAGGTGAAATGTACTTCGGAAATACTAAGAGAGAAGTTGTAGGTTCTTGAGCGTTTCTTACAGCCTTTATTCTGTTTTGCTATGCATTTATAACATTTTAAAAATGGTATGGTACCATATTTAACAATGTCATGAATATTTTCTTAATTTCTTTTCAATATATTGTGTCTCCCTAGAAGTCTGTTGTGTAGATATACCGTAATTTCATCATTGTCATTTTATAAGATATTTAGATTGTCACATTTCCTTTACCTCAGAAGCCTGTTCATTCCCAACTGAATCTTTGGGTATGGACCCAATCATAATGGGTTTGGTAGATACATAAAGTAACCTCTGGTGATCTGGTCTGTTTCTAGGATATTCTGTAATTGAGACCTAACAGACAAGATGATTTGTTATGGGACTTGCACTGTGACATAGGTCACATCATACTGATTCCTAGAATGAAGTCATTCATTAAACCTGTCCAACTCACAGGAAACTGAGTAGATTTATAGTCCTTTTCTAGTATTTTCTTTCTTTCTTTTTTTTGGCGGTGGTGGGGCTTAAATTACATGGCTGGACCAGAATTAAACTTGTTTATAGAGGGTTTGGAAGTATACTGTAGTCTGGAAAGTTCACTTGGTCTTCTGGAAAGGTGTTTAGAGGGATTTTATATTTTTATTACCACCACCACCAATAATCTTCATTCTCCTAATAATAATAACTGGTATTTTCTTAAGTGCTTGCTGTGTATTATACTGTTCTAAGGAGTTTACATGGTATTATTTCATAGTATTGGGTTGTCGGAAAAGTCATGATGCATGTTTGCAACAGATAGCACAAGTTCATTTTTGGAAATATTAGTCATTTACATCTACGTTATTCCTATGTTGTTTGACAGCTGACAGTTTTCGCTTCATTCTAAAAAAAAATTGAGCGATTTGGTTTTATTTTGATTTTACAACAAGTTGAAGATGGAAGACCAAACTGTGCATTTTTGCCATATTTTACTGTTTTACTTCCATAAAGGGAAGAATGCGCGTGAAGCTTGTGAAAAGTTGCATAAAGTTTACGGTGACAATGCTCTACAAGAACGTCAGTGCCAACGATGGTTCATGAAATTCTATGCTGGTGATTTTTTTTTTTTTAAAGATTTTTATTGGGGAATTGGGGGGATGGGAACAGTGCTGGGGAATTGGGGGAAGGGGAACAGACAAGTTGCTGTTGTTTTTTTGTTCTTCAGGCTAGTTGAGGACGTTGCTTCAGTGGCCCAAGTTGGCACCATCATTGCGCTCTTCCCAGGCGAGGCAGATCAGTCGCAGGCTTCTGGACAGCT